AAAAAAGACTTACTTATTGAATTGAACTACTTAAAGATCATACACTATCTAGAGGTTTCAACCTTAACATCATAGATAAGGCTTGTATCAAACTTAAAAACAGTGAAAAATATTACGTTACCCTAAACTTTCACCTATCAACAACAAATTTGTTTCATTCCTTTTTGTGCCAGAAATTGCTAATGAAATCACTATCCTATTTAATAATTTGAGCACTGGTGTAAAAACTGTATTCAAACCTTTACATAAAATTAATATCTTATTACCTAACCCGCAATAATACCTATTAAAGAAACAAAAAATAGGTATGTATATACTATCACATGTGAATATGGAAATACATAGGACAAACGTCACGTTCCTTACCAACCAGACGCAAAGAACCCCAAGGTCACATGCGTTGAGGTGAATTTCAGACAATTATTTTAACATATTAAATATAAAACAGGTCACAAAATACTTTGGGATGAAATTCTTCTCCTACACCAACCAAAAACTAAAAGGAACTGTCTAAAAAGGTCTAGTACTTGAATGTGTTTAGTATTCATCTTTAAGCTCTTAACATAATTTTTTTCAGTTGGATGTGCGCCAGAAGGGAAAGCTTTCATTCGAACCTCGTCTGTTATGTTAGCAGTTAGTGTCTACACGGGGTCTGATGACTACTTAGTTTTACCTAAGACCAATCCAAGCCAATGCTACAGATTGTGTTACGACAGTGAAGATTGTAAGGCCTACTTCGTGGATTACATGAATTACTCTTGCATACTAACCAAAAAAGATCACTTGACTATCAGGCCACAACTAAAACCACATTTCGCTGGAAGTTACCACAGGAAAATCTGCCTATCAGGTATGTCTTTCGTTAGCTGGAAGCTACCACAGGAAGATCTGCCTATCAGGTATGTCTTTCGTTAACCGGAAGTTACCACAGGAAGATCTGCCTATCAGGTATGTCTTTCGTTAGCTGGAAGTTACCACAGGAAAATCTGCCTATCAGGTATGTCTTTCGTTAGTTGGAAGTTACCACAGGAAGATCTGCCTATCAGGTATGTCTTTCGTTAACCGGAAGTTACCACAGGAAGATCTGCCTGTCAGGTTTGTATTTCGTTAACCGGAAGTTACCACAGGAAGATCTGCCTGACAGGTTTGTCTTTATCTGGAAGTTACTACAGGAAAACCTGCCTATCAGGTATGTCTTTCGTTATCCGGAATTTACCATAGGAAGATCTGCCTGTCAGGTATATTCGTTATCCGGAATTTACCACAGGAAAATCTGCCTATCAGGTATGTCTTTCGTTAGCTGGAAGTTACCACAGGAACATCTGCCTATCAGGTATGTCTTTCGTTAACCGGAAGTTACCACAGGAAGATCTGCCTATCAGGTATGTCTTTCGTTAACCGGAAGTTACCACAGGAAAATCTGCCTGTCAGGTATGTCTTTCGTTAACCGGAAGTTACCACAGGAAGATCTGCCTGACAGGTTTGTCTTTATCTGGAAGTTACTACAGGAAAACCTGCCTATCAGGTATGTCTTTCGTTAACCGGAAGTTACCACAGGAAGATCTGTCTATCAGATATATCTTTATCTGGAAGTTACCATAGGAAGATCTGCCTGTCAGGTATATTCGTTATCCGGAATTTACCATAGGAAGATCTGCCTGTCAGGTATATTCGTTATCCGGAATTTACCGGGTTCAGAGTTTTCAGCCAGTTTTGGGCCAATGCTGTTGATGAAACTAACTCTATAGTGTATGTACATAATGAGTATTTTTTTCATGAATAATAAAAATTCCCTGGCATGTTTTTTGTGAGATTATTAAATGTAATTAATAAAGAGTTCCTAGCTTCAATACTGTTAGCCTAGACTTCTTGGATCACAGTACGAAACAAACAAGACTTGTGGATTTAACTCTGATGGTGTGTTGATTAAAATGAGTAGTGTTTCCCTTTATTTTAACATTGGTTTATTGGTTATAATGAGTAGTGTTCCCCTTGGTTTTAACACTGGTGTATTGGTTATAATGAGTAGTGTTCCCCTTGGGTTTAACACTGGTGTATTGGTTATAATGAGTAGTGTTCTCCTTGGTTTTCACACTGGTGTATTGGTTATAATGAGTAGTGTTTCCCTTGGTTTTAACACTGATGGTGGATTGATAATATTGAGTAGTGTTCCCCTTGGTTTTAACACTGGTGTACTGAACATAGTGAGTAGTGTTTCTTGTAGTTTTAACCCTGGTGGTGTGTTATATAAAGCAGAGTTGGCCATCTATTCTGGCGTTTGGTAGCCATTTGAATTAGTATTACGTGAAACCGACGTCAAACGAAAGTGACGTTTAACACCGCGTGTAGTATGGGTACCTTTTGTTAATCGTCCGTATTCCGTAGACCTGCATAACAAATGACGCACATACACGCCGCCACCCTGTCCCTGTGTGGCCAACAAAATAAATGGTTCGAAAGACTCGGGTACGTTTGCTAGAACTTGTATAAAAAATACTTGGTATTTCAGTGAGCTTTGAAAAACAATACTAGCGCAAAGTCGTTGTTTGTTGTTGTATAGGTCAAAAGTTAAGTCGCAACAAAACCGATAGAAAGTGAAAACCAGGATGTATAGGAAAAACTCGTGGCCTTGACCTCTGTTTCAAGCTGAAGACCATAAAAAAATAAATTGTGTCTGTCTTGGAAGAAGCAGGATTTGTTCTGTTGATTTTTAACTTTTGTTTTCAATAATTTATTTTCTCTGTAATTTAAAAAAATATGATGTTGCCAATGTATTTAATATATTTTATGATATCTAGATTTTCGCATGAAGTTATTATGATTAATGTCTTTAGTTGCTCTTTGGCCTAGAGCACTAGGCGTATGGTTTTCCGTAAAAAAAACAACAAAAAACAAAACAACAACACTGAACTCATCTCAACAAATTAAATAGGCTTAAATCATTTCATATAGTTTTTACCTTACACCTCTAATACAGCGAACTGAAGCCGACATCTTTGTTCTGTCGTGTCAGTTGTTCTGAGATTGTTATTTTGGTATTTGACAAATTTCTTTATGGTACGTGTGTTTCCGCATCACGAAACTTGTTATTCTTGGGAGACAGTATTAATTATCACTTTTTGATGTCCCTACATGGGAAATGTTGTCTCTAATTCCCTATTCCGCCGGCATATCGAACGGATAATAAGAATAAAGAAGTCAAGTATTATATGAAACGAGATACGGCTTATTTCTGTTTGTTTTTTAACACGATTCAACCTAGACTCACGTCCGTGTAGATGTCAGCATGATAAAGATATTTAGCGTTAATAAGTTCAAGGTAGTGTGTACAAATGACAGATTTTACAGAACGTCTAAGTTAACGTCTAGATACGTACGTTCTCTGAAATTATGTTCTTTACTTTTCCCTTTAGAAAAACGTGACAGGCAATGAATATATTATAAAATGTAGTTTCAAATGATATCATTCTTAATAAAATTAAAAAAAAGTAAAGCAACCAGTTCTGATTTATATATAAAATTTAAAAGCATGTATGTGTTCGCTTGTATAATGTTAATTAAGAGTTAGGACTAACTTTTTAAACATTCAGTATGTGGACAGTTAAGCCTAATTTTAGTTTGGTGAATTTATGTAAAGCCTCAGAAAAAGGTTCGTGAAGTATAATATTCAATAGGTAGGCGAAGAACGATTTATAAGGATAAAGAAAAGTTTTATTGACGGTGGAACGTATTACATTTTTCTACAGAACATTAGTCTACCTTTTTCAGGTATGACCTGTACTAAGTAATACAAGGTTTATATAAAGATACAAGGATTAAATGTGACGGAAATGATGTCAGCAGGTGACAGGATATCGATAAAGGCCAAGCCTGATCGAGTGTGTGAACAGTGGATAGACCTTGTCAAATATGGCTGATGTTGCTAGGGCTATTATAGCGGTTTAGCGAAATATCATTTGCTTTGATGATTTCTGTAGTTTCTAAACAGTCTCTCTTTTTTCTTTTTTAAAAAGGTCTAGTACTTGAATGTGTTTAGTATTCAGGAACTGTTTAAAAAGGTCTAGTACTTAACTGTGTTTAGAATTCAGGAACTGTCTAAAAAGGTCTAGTACTTGAATGTGTTTAGTATTCAGGAACTGTCTAAAAAGGTCTAGTACTTGAATGTGTTTAGTATTCAGGAACTGTCTAAAAAGGTCTAGTACTTGAATGTGTTTAGTATTCAGGAACTGTCTAAAAAGGTCTAGCACTTGAATGTGTTTAGTATTCAGACAGTTCCTGAATACTAAACACAGTTAAGTACCTGACCATTTTAAGCAGTTCCTAAATACTAAACACAGTTAAGTACCTGACCATTTTAAGCAGTTCCTAAATACTAAACACAGTTAAGTACTAGACCTTTTTAGACAGTTCCTGAATACTAAACACTGTTAAGTACCCGACCATTTTAAGCAGTTCCTGAATACTAAACACAGTTAAGTACCCGACCATTTTAGACAGTTCCTGAATACTAAACACAGTTAAGTACTAGACCTTTTTAGACAGTTCCTAAATTCTAAACACAGTTAACTACTAGACCTTTTTAGACAGTTCCTGAATACTAAACACAGTTAAGTACTAGACCTTTTTAGACAGTTCCTGAATACTAAACACAGTTAAGTACTAGACCTTTTTAGACAGTTCCTGAATACTAAACACAGTTAAGTACCTGACCATTTTAAGCAGTTCCTGAATACTAAACACAGTTAAGTACCCGACCATTTTAAGCAGTTCCTGAATACTAAACACAGTTAAGTACACGACCTTTTTACGCAGTTCCCGAGTAGGTTCTGAAAACAAATGTTAAATACACAATCAAATTATTAGTTGCTTTAACATTTACGTAGTTTAGAAAGTCATTTAATATCAATAACCACATACTGACAATCGACAGAAGTGTAGTTAATAAACTGAATGTTGTAGATACAGTTAAAGCTCTTATGATGTTCTGGTTTGTAACTACCCAACAACCTTGTTTTATTTACCTCTAGACTTCTGAGCTATACTATCTAACAGCCGATATTGGACTTATGGTCCATCAGGGCAGCGGGGGATCTAAAAATCAAACGCCAATATTTTGGTGTGAGCTATACTATCTAACAGCCGATATTGGACTTATGGTCCATCAGGGCAGCGGGGGATCTAAAAATCAAATGCCAAGATTTTGGTGTGAGCTATACTATCAAACAGCCGATATTGGACTTATGGTCCATCAGGGCAGCGGGGGATCTAAAAATCAAACGCCAATATTTTGGTGTGAGCTATGCTATCAAACAGCCGATATTGGACTTATGGTCCATCAGGGCAGCGGGGGATCTAAAAATCAAACGCCAATATTTTGGTGTGAGCTATACTATCAAACAGCTGATATTGGACTTATGGTCCATCAGGGCAGCGGGGGATCTAAAAATCAAACGCCAATATTTTGGTGTGAGCTATACTATCAAACAGCCGATATTGGACTTATGGTCCATCAGGGCAGCGGGGGATCTAAA